ACCTGGTGGCTTACACTCACGCTGGGTGCGTGTGCATGCGTGCCCAAGAACCAAAGAGGGCTTTCTCACTTTCTGTCTTTCTGTCTTTCTGGTGAGTGCATACACCCTATAGCAAAAACCTCTCAAAAAAAAAAAAAAAAAAAAGGAAAGAAAGAAAGAAAGAAAGAAAAAGTACTAAGCAACAAAAAAACAGAGATTATAATTATCTCTCCCTTCTAAGCAACATGAAGATCTTGCCACAGGGAACCAGCAGTTAGTGTAATGGCTATGTCGCTGGACTCCCACGTAGTCGACCGTGGTTCTAGTCCTGGACCCGGTGGCTTAAACTCACGCCAGGCATGTGTGTGTGTGTGCCCAAGATCCCGAGAGGAGAATGGAGGAGAAGGGATTGTGGTGTCACCATCCCCCCTGGGGGGGGGGGATTTCTCGCTTTCTGTCTGTCTCTCTCTCTGTCTGTCTGGCAAGCGCACACACCCTATAGTGAAAACCTCTACAATAAAAAAAGAAAAAAAAAATCTTGCCACAGTTTGTTTCCTTCCTTCTATCTAGCTTCTCTTTTCCTTTATTTATGTAATTTTTCTTCCTTTTGTGGAAAGGACAGTGGATACCAAGCTGGTACTTCCTTATTTTAAAAATGAGTGGCTAAATCTCTCTTCCATTGAATTCTGGGTCTTAAAGTTGTGTCCTTTCTTCCAGGTTTCCAGATTTCTTTTGCATAATTAAAAATGCAAATGCGAATGTATTTTTAATCCATAAAGAATTAATCAGTCATATCACAAACTCTTCTCTCTCTCTCTCTCTGCATATGCGCCTCTGAAAAGATAGGTCAGATCTCAAGCCTGCAAAGAGCCATACCAGGTTCAGGTCTGAACAGATTGGAGGGAGAAGACAATTTAGGAGAGGCTGTGCTCTATGGACAAGGCCCAGTTATCACTTGTTTAATATTTGCTCTTTGGGACAAGGGCAGGGGGACTTCTAGCTGTTCCCTGGTGCAGTGAAAATGCCTACAGAAGCAACATGTAAAATAGGCAGCATCTGCAGAATATCAAGGAGAGGATGCAAGCTGGCCACCAGCGGACCCGTTTTGTTTGGCTTTCTTTCTTTTTTTTAAGAATTATTTTGCTTAATTTTATTTATTTACTTATTTTAATTTGACCAGAGAAAAAGATAGGGGGAGTGAAAAAGCAAGCTGCCAGGTCCGTAGGAATCTAGCGCACTTAACCACCACGCCACCTGCTGGTCCCTGTTTTCTTAAAACTCAACAAAATAATCCACATTTCCCATTTGGAGAAAAAAGCTGTATTTCTGGTTTCTCTTTAATAAAAATGGAAGAAAGCACCAGCCCACATCCCTCCAGAGCAGCAGCCCATGAGAACACAGGCCTCCCTGCAGACCTAGCACATCCCCACACTGGCTGCAAAATGCAGGTGGGTGTGTCCAGCGCATTAGGATTTGACCCACGATGAAGCCCCAGGCCTTGCTTTCAGAGTTCTACCTGTAGACCTGCAGTTCTTCTTGCAGCTTCCCAGACCTGAGGCGGACTGTCTGCAGGTGCGCCTTGGCAGTCAGCATGTGGTAGCCGGCTCGCTGGGCGATTCCCCACACATGGGGACCACTGTTGAGATGTCCTCTCTCTCTCTCTCTACCCACGAGGGGGGCTGGATTCATAGCCCCTGGAGCACAGGTGCAGGGCAGGCTCTGGTGCTTCCCTGCAGGTGGGCTTGGTGCTGTACTCAGTGGGAATGGGTCGTTTCAGCTGCCTCAGGCAGGGCCAGCTGTGCCTACACCAGAAGTTCCGAAGCCTCATGCACTGTGTGGTCTACCGCTAACCGGAGACGGTACAACCCCATTGCAATTATAGGTAGCAAAGATTGGAGCTCTGTGTAATTCAAAGTCACATGGTGCCGGGGTAGGAATCTCTGTGTGTGCTAGCCAAGACACCCTTTCTCAATCCTGTCAGAACGAAATCTAGATTACTGAGCCAGACCCACCCTCTGCATTGAGTTAAAAAACACACAGGTGTGTGTGAGCACATCAGTTTCACATAGAGAATTAAAGAACTGTGTGTGTGTGTGTGTACGTGCACGTGTATGCATATATGTACATATATAGAGAGAGAGTCTTGGCCTAAGACTGCCTTGTGTCCATCTGTGTGGATTTTTTACACAAAAAGCATCTGTAGTTCCCCCCACCTCTGTATAGATCCCAGTCATGCAGACTATCAATCATGATTACTGATGCCTCATTAAGAGTTTTGTCTCTCCCTCCTGACCCACTTCCTTTTTTTTTTTTTTTTATGTTCCTCATCGATATGTAATGGGCAACCTGAGTTGGCAAGGAGTCTACCTGTGAGTTTCTTGGGATGTGTAGGGATTAGTCACAATTGCTAATGAATATTTAAAATTTCCTTTAGCTTTCTTGGCAGAAGAGCTGACCAAGAACTTTAGAAGCCCAGATTTCAATTTCTGGCCCATTACAGACTGGCCCGAGCGGCAGGACTGAGCAGTTGCAGTGGTTCCATCTCTGGGAGCCAGGATTTCCCCTTCAGATGCCACCTTCTGTTCCCCAAGGATACGTGACAGTCTTCCAGTCTTCAGGAATCATCATCAGTCATGAAAAGCATTGCAGCCTGTTTTCCAGCTCCAGCCCTTGAAATGGTGTTGCCAGTCTGAGACGAGGCAGGCAGCTGTCTCTAGAACACAGGAGGAAAGAGAGCAAAGGAAGGGGATGAGAACAGCAGTCTCACTAGCTGCCCAGACCTAGAAATATGGGCAGAAGTGACTTCAGAACTGGTCTTTTTCTTTCTTTCTTTCTTTTTTGGAGAGGTTTTTGCTATAGGGCGCGTGCGCTCGCCAGACAGAGACAGAGAGACAGAAAGTGAGAAATCACCCCCCCAGGGGGGGATGGCCACACTGCAATCCCTTCTCCTCCATTCTTCTCTCGGGATCTTGGGCACGCACACACATGCGCCTGGCGTGAGTTTAAGCCACCGGGTCCAGGACTCGAACCGCGGTCGACTACGTGGGAGTCCAGTGACATAGCCATTACGCTAACTGCTGGTCCCATGTATATATATATATTCTTAAAGCCTGTGGGAGTAGCCACCTGTGTGCCTCAAACGTGGAGAGGGGCATTGGGAAGCTGTGCCCAGTCTGGACTGACGCCTGGTATAGTCAAGAGGCACATTTTACAGACCTGTTATCCTGTAAACCCTGAGGCCGGTCAGTTCAACAGATTTGTTGGAAGAAAGACAAAGGGAGGACAAGCTTTGCTGACTGAGGCTATAACAAATTGAGTGTGTTTTTAGTATATTCCAGAAGCTCTAATGAAATTGACAGAGACATAAAGGTGACAGGGACGCTGTCAATAGACGACATGTTGAAAGAATATCCGTGTTCTTGGGGGATACTAATATTAGGGCCCTACATGTGAATATTTTCAGGGTGGGGTTCTTAAGCCTTTGGAATTCTTCAAAATGTGTCTAAGAATGTTATAGGCTTTCCCGTTCTAAGCTGCCTCTCACCAGCTCCTCACCCACGAGTGTAGCCATCAAATCTAACCAGGGCAGCGTGTTCTCCGTGAAGGGTCATCCTGATCTTCTAAGAGCTTTCAGCTTCCCGTCCTGCTGGCAGCTTAGCGGGTCTACATGATAGATATGTGATGTGGGTCTTTTTTTAATTTCTTTTTTATTTATGTGTTTGTTTATTTATTTAGAGAGATTTTTGCTGTAGGGCACATGTGCTCACCTGAAAAACAGCAGAGGCAGAGCGAGTGAAAACCACCCCCCCCCTTGGGGGCACTGGCCATGCCGCATGTGCCCAGTGTGCGTTTCAAGCCACCAGGTGCAGGACTAGCACCGAGTCGGCCACATGGGAGTCCAGCACCTTAATCCCTACCACCTGCTGGCCCCTACTCTGTGGTGCTTGGCCTGTGACGTCTGGGTTTGGTTGAGGAGGCAGTGTGTGTATGATATGCTGGAATACTTTTCCCGATGGGATGCAAACCGGGCGTCTTCGTGGGTGGGATAGACCAAATGCTCTGTAAGATTTGAGATGGGCTCAATGTTGGCCACTGAGCTCTGCTACTCTTACAAAAATACTGGCTTTAAAATCTGTGTGATTTGGAGTCTGATAGATGCTGCACTGAGTGATACACATAACAAGGTAAACCGTGGGCTGGACTAGGAGCCAGAAATCAGGATCCTCTCATTTTCCCCAGACCCCCTGGGAGACCTCACAGCAGCCAGTTTACCTTTTTGTCAGTTTCTACAACTATAAATGTGGATGTGCGTGTGCGTATGAAATACGATCTTATAATCTCTTTGTGAGAACCAAACAAAACCCGATGTTATACAGAAAGAATGCCGCACCATTATTAACTAACTGGTTAAATCAGACTCCTCCTGAACTTATTTAAAAATGCTTTTCATTTATGCTGTGAGAGTTGTGTTTCGTTGATAGCCCTCTGGTGACTCATAAATAGGAGCTTCAGATAATGGCATTATGAAAATAATACTGCGCATTCGTGAGGCCACATTTTATGGTGTCATCTCACTTGATTACTACAACTCTGATATTTAGAGCGAAATGATTATCTCCACTTCATCCGCGTAAAGAAGCGGCAGCCCAGAGACCACGAAGGTGGAGCACCTGGGACAGGACCCTGATGTTTCTGACATCCACTACAATGTCCTTTCCAAAAACACTTTGCTGCCAACACCTTGCCAGATGACAGAAAGGAAATGAGGCTTTTAAAGAACAGTGTAAAATAGGACTGCCTAAAAATACTGCTCACCCTCCTGAGTAGTAGCTGAACAAAGCCTTCATCTTCAGAACCACACGAAAGCATGCTTTAAATGCCCAGATATTGTTTTAAAAATTCATTTCCTCTTAAATAGTGTCATTTCGCAGCAAGTTGCCATTTTTTTCCCTTAGCAAGTGCAATTTACGGGTAATATTTCCGAAGGGTGTTCATTGCTGTCTCTTCTCTCTCTCTCGTAGCAACAGATCAACACCTAGCAACCACGATCGGATACAGCGCCTGCGGCAGGAGTTCCAGCAAGCGAAGCAGGACGAGGACGTGGAGGACCGGAGACGCACCTACAGCTTTGAACAGCCCTGGGTAAGGGCGTGTCCTGCACACCTGGAGCCGTCCACCGGCGTTCCCGGGGGAAAGGCCACAGCGCTGCCCTCCGTCTTCCATAAAACGGCGAGACACCGTGGAGCCACACTCCTTTGACCTTTAACATATTGACCTTTCCCCTCCTCTCTGTCTGGATTTCATCTTTACTAATTTCATTTCAGATCTTGTTCCACCATCTGTCCATTGCATAATAGGTTTCATTAGCCTTATGACAAGGCTAATGTATTTTTGCTCTCAACTATGCATTTTTTTTTTACAGTTTTGCCATAGGGCACATGCATTCACCAGAAAGAGACAGAGAGAGGGACAGTGAGAAGTCACCCCTGGGGGATGGCCATGCCACAATCCCTTCTCTTCTATTCTCCTCTCAGGATTTTGGGTGTGTGCGCACACACACACACACACACACACAGAGCAGTATGATTTTTACACCACTGGGTCTGGGACTGGAATCCTCATAGGCCATGTGGACTTCACCACCACGACACTTGCTGGCCCCTCAACTATGCATTTTTAATATTTTCCTATAGGTTCATCTTTCTCAGAATTGGAACCAAAATGCCTTAGTTCAGCACGGGTGCCTCGTGTCTGTGGTGCACACGGGACAGTGCCGAGTGGCCCACCTTTGCTCTCCCTCACGCCCGCTGTGTGGTGGCCGAGTCCCCCTTATTTATCTGCCTACAGCTCTGTTCTCATCCATCCTCGGCCCAGTCAGTGGGCGACCCTTCCAGGACAAACCCTGACTGGCTTTCTCCATGCCAGACCTGTGTTCTCATCTCGTATTGGCCATAGAGACGGCGGGATTCGTGGGAGTGGGCGTGTTGGAGCAGGTTTGGGGTTTGAGGTAGTAGGGGTTTGGAAGACTCTGTGGGACACTTGGAAGTGAGTCAGTTGGGGGTGAATACCTACGCTCCTGAAGGCAGGAAAGCCTAGCTCCGAGCATTTGTAAGGCCACCCCATACAGTAATGTGACCCTAACAACAGTGCTCAGAGGTCTGGGCATGAAAAGGCAAATTGCCAGATACATTCTGTGGTAGGGATTGGCGGGACAGTTGTAGCAGAGGGTCATGAAGGCTCTCCGGAGCCCCGGTGAGGATGCTGTGCAGCATTGCCCAGCCTGGCTGGGGTTTGTGGGGTGTGTGGGGACATTATCTTGGTAGCCTGGGAGTCCATAGAAAAGGTCAGGAGTGTAGAGTTTTCGTTTCCCAAGTTAAGAGGCTGTAGTCAAAGCGGTGTGTCCTGTGGACTCCAGGGTCTTGGAGGGGACACGGTGTGGTCTGGGGCATGCACTCAGGCACGCCAGTTACAGAGGTTGAGGAGGTGACAATGCCATGAAGGTGAGGGGTTCAGAAAGTGTGGGGAATATAAGGGGGCCCGTTACATGGGAAAGGAGGGGGAAGGAAGAATGGCATTAGAAAAGTGCGTTAGAGAGACAGAGGAGGGGAGGAAGAAAGAGAGGAGGAAAGAAAGAAGGCAATACACACCAGGCGCATGAATGAACGATCCCGGCTTCTCTGGGCAAGGGTAAACTGCCCAGCTGAAGGAGAATGGAGAGTGATGTGCATGGGGAGATCAAAGTAGACACCCAGTAGGAGCCTAGGAGGTGAGCCTGAGAGTTGGCAGCAGGATGGACCCAGGACCTCTCGTGAACCTAGATGAGAGCAGACGAATGAATGTCCATTATTAAACACTGTGATCAAGTGGAAACTGAAAAAGAAACTGGGACCAGTAGTTGGCATAACGGCTATGTCGCTGGACTCCCATGTAGTCAATCATGGTTCAAGTCCCAGACCCAGTGGCTTAAACTCACACCAGGGGTATGTGTGTGCGTGCCCAAGATCCCGAGAGGAAAATGGAGGAGAAGGGATTGCGGTGTGGTCATCTCCCCTGGGGGTGATTTCTTGCTTTCTGTGTCTCTGCTCTCTCTGGCTTTCTGGCAAGTTCACGCACCTTGTAGAAAAACAAACAAAAAAAAACAAAACACTAAAACCTCTCCACAAAAATTAAAAGGAAAAAAGGAGGAAGCTGGATGTGGAAAGCAGATGCGAGCTGAGTAGGGCGGTTGCTGCAGAGGCCTCCGTGGGTCCAGTTACCTGGTGCTGTAGCTCAGAGCTTCCTGCAGTGTGCCGCAGATGGCACCCCCAGCATCACCTGGAAACTGGTAATAGGAGCATGTTCTTGGGCCCTGCCCAAGACTTACTGTGAATAGATGTGAACCTCTATGGTCAGGTCAGGACTCTATCTTTCTTCTTTTAATTTTGAGAGTTTTTTGCTATAGGGCATGTGCACTCACCAGGGAGAGAGAGAGAGAGAGAGCAAGAGAGACAGAAAGCAAGAAATTACCCCAAGGAAGTATAGCCATACTGCAATCTCTTCTCTATTATCCTCTCTGGATTTGGGGCACATGTGAACACACACACTTGGCCTGAGTTTCAAGCCACCGGGTCCTGGACTCAAACTGCAGTGCGCTGCATGGGAGTCCAGTGCCTTAACCACCATGCTACCTGCTAGCCCAGGACTCTGTATCTTAACAAGCCTTCCGGAACAAGTCACTTGGAAACATGTCCAATTCTGAGAAACACGTCAACTTCTAGAGACTAGAGATCTCTGAGGCCTTTTTGGTCCTAAAAGCCAACACCCACCACGACTCTACATGAAGTGACACACTTATAAGTGTTTGATTAAGAGATTTTGTGATCGAATCAGTTTGAGGAAGGTTAATGTTGTAAGTGAAAGGAGAAGGAAAAGTGAGAGAAGCAGATCGTTTGAAGGGCGTGGTCGGCTGAGGAGGCTGGGACCTCCCAGAGGTCACCGGAAGTGTGCAGCCTGTATCTGTGCAGTCTCTGCCTGACCTGGGGAGGTTGCCAGAGAGGCTCAGCACATCTGTGGCCACCAGGCTCTCTCATGGTCTCCTCAACATATTCTTCTGCATGGTATTTTTCAAGGTATTTAGTCCATTTTTCAAGATGATCAAGTAAATTGAGTCATTTCCAAGCATCAACGGGAATGAATTATGTTAATGTGCGTAGAGTGCCTGGCGTAATTGACTCAGTCTTCCTACTAGATTTCTTAAAGCGGATTCTTTTTGGATGTGTGGTAAATACGTTCTTAACTATGTGTATTTGCACAAAGCGGCTGAAAAGCATAAGGAGCACAGGGTCAGCCTGAAGAAGAAAACAGCAGCTGCCTGTGGAAATGATGCTCGTTCTCACAGACACGCACGCACGCACGCACACCCATGTGTACACATGCACACACGTGTACATGCATGCGCACACACATGCACATAGTTCCAACCTGGCAGAGACCCGTGTGGATTTTGGTCCCCCACAACACAGCACCATAGCATGA